AATGCTCCTTTCCCTACAAACATAGATTAATTTTTGATTTTTGGTACCCAAATTTTTTTGGGTCCATATTCATTAGTTTCCAAAATCCTAGTCCCCTTAGGTATCCATTTGTGTAGGATATCTTTATCTTTAGTATTAATGAGTTCTTTAGGAACCCACATACTTCTAGCGATTTTTTCATTAGAGGTTCTTTGGGGACCTCTATGATTGTAGTTTTTAAAACCTTTTCTAACAAAGTTGGATTTTGAATTTTCTCCTTTTTCAAAACGTTTTGTTCCAACTTTATCAAAAGAAGTTTTAAGATCATCAATTTTCTTTTGATGATCATCATTGACCTTTGAAAGTAAATTTTGCAAATCCAAATATTTCTTTTCAAACTCTTCTAGTTTGATTTGCAAATCTTTGATTTTACTTTCAAGATCGTTGTTGGTTTTGGATATGAGTTTATTTTCATTTTTCAATTTTGAAACATCATTTTTATATTTTAAAAATAATTTCTTATAATCCGAAGCCAACCCATTATATTCCTCTAATAGCTCATCATAGGATAAATCATCAAAATCAGATGAGTTAGAGGTTACCTTAGAATCTTCCCCGAATGCCATCAAGCAAAAGTTTGCTACTTCTTGTTCCTCTTCATCGGAACCTTCTTTATCGCTCCATGTAGCCACATGAGCCTTGTGTTTATTCTTTGATTGACCCTTTCTCTTCAATTGTGGGCAATCATATTTGACATGCCTCAGGTTTTTGTATTCATAGCAAATGATCGGGTCCTTCTCTTTTGGTTCATTTTGAGACCTTCATTTCGTTTGAATTTTCTTCCTCGGTAAGGTCTCATCATTTTTCTGAACCGTTTGGGAAACAATGCCATTTCCTCGTCATCGTCATCTTCATTCGAATCACTCTCATCTTTTGTGGATTTGAGAACAACTCCAATATTTTTCTTCTTCTCCTTCTCCTTTGGTGTCTCGTCAATCTTATCGAGGTTCACCTCATCTTCAAGAATCATTTCATGAGTGAGGAGGGAACCGATTAGTTCTTCAAGAGTTAAGGACGTTAGGTCCTTAGACTCGATGATTGTCGTCTTCATTGATTGTCATGATTTTGGAAGGGAGTAAACTAACTTCCTCATAAGCTTTTCATTTGAAATGATCTCTCCATATGATTTGAGACCATTGACAATCGTTGAGAATCTATCCGTCATAGCTTTGATATCTTCATTTGGTTTCATCCTGAAATTTTCATAGCTATACGTTAGAATACTAATTTTAGATTTTTTTACCTCATCGGTACCTTCATGAGTGACTTGAAGCTTGTCCCATATTTCTTTGGCGGTTGTACAAGATGAAACTCTTCCGTATTCATCTGGTCCAAGAGCACAAAATATAATAGGAATGGCTTTAGAGTTGAGCTGGAACAATCTTGTCTCTCCTTCACTCCACATTCTTGAATGAGTAAGAGGCTTGATATATCCGTCTTCTACAACATTCCATGCTCCCATGTCACTTGCTTGAATGAAGTACATCATCCTATTTTTCCAATAGGCATAGTTAGCCCCATTGAAGAAAGGAGGCTTGTTGACGGGCATCGAATCGAGACCGGAGTAAAATTTTAAAGTGGAGGCCATTGATGACTTTGATTATCGATGTAACTCTTCCCGAATCGAATCAAGAGGCGATTAAACCTTCAAATGAGTTAGGCTCTGATGCTAATTGTTGAGTTAATCTATTGACGAAATCGGCCAAGAGGGGGTGAATTGGCAATTAAAATTTTGGTGGAAGCTTTTGCAGAAAATTGAAAGTAATTGCACAGCGATTTAGAGTGGTTCGACTTTCTCAACCAAAGTCTAAGTCCAGTACCTTAGCTATCCACACTAAGGATTTTCCACAAATTCACTAATTTGTCTTTCTTTTGAGGACAAAGAGTAACCTTACAAACCCTCAAGAATTATACCCCAAATTCTTGAGAACACTCTCTCTCAAAGAGAACAATACAAATTTATAAACTTACAAGGAAATCTTCACAAGGTAGATTGTTTGCACAATTCTAGAACAAAGAAAAGAACACTCAAGAATGAATACAATTGAGTACAAGTAGTGTTCTTGAAAGCAAAATGAATATTGAATGGAAAATAGGCTTGAAATGCTCAAACTTGAGGTTTGATGCTTTCTCTTTGATTCTCTCTTGATTCTAATTGCTTGTTATTTCTTGTTGTTGATCAATGGCTTCTAAGCTTGTTTAAATACACCTTGAATCACTTCTGAACGTTGGGGATCATTAATGAAGTTATTGGAGCCATTTAAGTGTGAAAACAATTAATATTTCTGCTTGGAGCGTGGGGGAATCAGTTCCCTAAGTGTATAATTCAAATATTTCAACCGTTGATCAGGGGGAATCGGTACCCCCTTGGGGGGAATCGGTTCCCTCCAAACATTTTGTTTTTCTTGGAGCAAAACCATTCAGGGGGGAATCGGTACCCCTTGGGGGGAATCGGTTCCCTTTGAGCAATCTGAAATTTTTGGCTTTGAAATGATTCGAAATATTTTGTAAAATTGTTTTGAAATTATTTTAAGATTAAAACTTAATTTTACACTTGAGTAAGGATTAAAAATGACATTTGAAAGATTTGGAGTAATATTTTGATATTCGAATAATTATATCGAATATACTTAGAAAATCTTTTTGGAAAATCTTAAAATTCATTTAACTTAATTTGTTATATCGAAATATCAAAAATGTTTTCAACAATCTCTAAATTTCTGCAAAAGTATCTTTGAACTCTCAACAAGATGTAGTGAATTCAAAATATCATGATATTCTTGTTGTAATGATTGAGAAAGTAAATCAATGATTTCTAATATTTTGTTCATAAGATGTAAAATGAAGTTAAATCAAAGGAAGTCAAAGTCTCTAAAGTTGTTGTCGCTTCTCTACATTTTCGAAATATGTACTTCCTTCATCAATGAGTTTATATAGAACAACACAAGTTGTCACACCCCAATTTAGGGGTAATTTTTTAATATAAAGTATCGAATTAAAATTGTAATAAGTGAAAATTAGGACCAAATTGTAAGTTTCTAAAATTTTTGGTTTAAAAATCTAGAAAGTTCAGGGACTTATCCCTAAATTTTCCCAATTTTTTTGGATAATTAATACCAATTCCCCTCCCCCGATCAGATGAAAAAATCACCAAAATTTCCCCCCCCCAAATCCTTAACCCCTCCAGCTTTCATCCCCCGATTATGTCACCGTCCGACCTCCTTAGTCGTTGCAGCCACTTCCAATCAGACCGCCATCTCGTCCTAACCAAAAGCCCTTTTACCCCTCATTGAGATCGACCGTCGTTCGCCGGGATCAAACGTATGAAGATTCGTCGAAACCCGCCGCCATCACACATTTTTCTTTGATTCCGATCGATCCGGTGATCATCTCGCCTCACCACCGCTGCCAATGCGTTCCCTATCGTCGTCCGCTCCTAGATTGACCGATCTCCTCATCCGAAAATCACACCATCGTTGAACGCCGTGGGGAGTAATCAGTCGACCGCCCCGACCTCCGACGCCACACGCGTCACCACGCGCGACCACCCACGCGTGGGACTTGTTTGGTCCAAGGAGTTTTCCAGAACCAGGTCGACCCGCCTGGTTCGATCCACTGAGTCAACTCGACTGAGTCAATTCGTTGACTTTGATCGAGTCAACTTGTTGACTGTTGCCTGGTTTGACCGTTGACTTTGACCGGTCAGATCGTTGACTGTTGACTTTGACCGAAAAAAGTCAAATTTTCCAAAAATCCCTATTTTATGGTTTTCAATGTCCTGAGTCTGATTTTAAGGTATGTTTGTTCATCGATGTGCTTATGTGAGGCAAGAACAACATTGATAATAAAGGATAACTTGGAAAAAATTGATAAAAGGTATGACGTCTTTCGCTACTGCTACCAATGCCAACTGTAAACAACGGGAAAAATAATGCACATAGTAAGCAAAATGACACTTATTGCTAACTAATGCTTGTAACCCATTCCACTTTCCTCGCATGTTACTTGCACCGTCGTAATCTTGGCCTCGAATATTCTTTTTGTCAAAGCGATAACAAGAAAGAACAGAAAATATCTCATCTTTTAAAGTCACTGCTGAAGTATTAGGAACATGAATAATGCAAAAAATATTCCTTTACTAGACTGAAATTATCAACATACCGTAAAATAATAGCCATTTGGTGTTTTCTTGATACATCCCTTGCTTCGTCAATAATAACCCAAAAGTTTTCTTCACCAATTTCTTCACGGATTGCTCTCTTAATTTTCATTGCCATAATATATAAAATCTCATTTTGTATCTCAGACGAAGTGTAAGAAACATTTTTTTGAACATTTTCTAATACAACTTTTTCAACATCTTTATTATAAGAGGCTAATTGTTTCATGAGTTCAATAAAATTTCCTCGGTTAGATGAAGATTCACTCCCGTCACGACCTCTCATTGATAGCCCTTCTAAAGCTAGTCAACGCAATGCATCTATAGAGGTTTCAAGTCTAAGCCTATTATTTACAATTTGTAATGTTGTTTGCTTATGCAACACTTGTGGCAGGTGTTTAGACTAGTTAAGAAAATCCTCCAATTCTTGCTCAACAATTTTATGAGGTGAATTAGGTTCTGAACCTACATGCATCTTAAAATAACAACTTTTTTCCGTTTACTTTCCTCCAATTCCGAAATACATTCATAGTGAAAATCTTGTGTGATGGATAACTATCTGGTTTGTTAAAAAGAAAGAAAGTAAAACAGAATGCAACATCATTTTCAGGAGAATATTTGAACGAAAGTTTTTGTACCAAGAAAAAGTGAAGAAAATCCGGTAAAAAGTTGACAAAACACATGACAGATGGATGGATTTGTACCATATTGATAAAAAAAAAACACGTCTTAAAAGCATTTCATAGGATGATGAAGATGGTGTGAACACTTATATACTGCAAACTTTACTTAAATTTGATGTTGCATTCACTTATCATGTCCCTACATAATTATACATGTATGAAATAGTGCTTTTTCCCCCTTTCTGCATCACTGCTTTTTCTCAGTCTGGAGAAAAAACGTAAAGCTAACGCCTTCTCTATGCTTTTTATTATCATTCAATTAACCTACAAGTGTTAAGCTACAAGTGCTAAGCTTTCTTTTCTTTTCTTCATATCCCCCTATATTTGATCCTTTTCTTCCTTGTTCAGCTTCGACATATGCCTATTAAAGAAAGCATTTTGATCTTTATACCCTATTTCTATTTATGTGTTCTGTTTCTTGTCCCTGAAGTAATCCCTGCTGAGCTGATCTTCTCTAACTTTGGAGTTCAATTTTAGTTACATGATGAAGAGTAGCCATGAAAGAGAGAGGCAAAGCTGTGGAAGTATACAACAACAACAACAACAACATTGATTTCTTCCAAGACTATACCACTTCATTGGATGTTGTTCCCTGTAGGAGACATCCACAATCATCTTTTGCGGGTGTGTGCGCGTATTGTCTCAAGGACCGTTTGATCAACTTGGTTTGCTCAGAGTGTGGCGAGCAGCGTCTCTCGTCTTGCTCGTGCTCCGAAATCGCCACCAACCCTCGGAATTCATGCACCGGTGGTGAAGTAGGCAGCGTTGGTCGGGTCTCGTTCTTGATAGAGAATGAAAACAAGGAACAAGAAGTTCCGAACCCCAAGGGAAAAAGCAGTAGTAGTGGGAATAATACCAAGTCAGAAGATATTTTCTTGCTCGAGAGAAGCAATAGCAGTTGTGTTGAGATCAAGAAAAAGAATGGATTCTGGAGAATTGGGAGGTTTTTCAAGAAGAAGAGGGACAAAGAGACTAACTGTGGGAAGAGTGTGTGTGGGGTTGATGAGAAAAGTGATTTGTGGCTGGTTGATTACATGGGGGTGTCAAGGTCAAGGTCTCTTTGCAGTTTCAGAGGTGGTGGGTTCTTTGGATCAGAAGATGGAAGTGAGTTGATGAACTTTTCTGGTGCAAGGAGCTCCATTTCAGCCGCTCGGAGTTCCGGTGTCAATGGCGGTTTGGTTTATGATCCTGACAGGAAAAGTGGGTTTAGTGAAGCAGAACCAAGGAGAGGTGGTTTTGATAGTGAAAGAAGAGACAGTACTTTTATAGAGTCTGATATTGCAGACATTAGAGCCGTTAGAAAAAGTGGCCTCAGCGGTGGCGGAGGTGTAATGGATTTCGATGGTGGTTTTAGTGGTGCAAACAGGCGGGTGTTCTCTTTGAAAGAGAGCTATTTTAATGGTGGGGATGATTCAGGCTTCATTGACTTGAAATTTGATTTTCAAACAGAATCTAAAGGGGATATTCCTAGTATGAAGAAGGGTGTTTTGTCTGGTTTTGGCAACATGAGAGAAGGTGATGAATTTGGGCCATATAAATCCAGTAGTTCCATTGAAAATGCACTGCCAATGTCTGGAAATGGAGCTTTTAGGAATGGGAGTTCATATCAGATGACAATGGATGAAAGAAGAATAAAAAAGAGTAAAATAATTTTCAAGGGATGGCGGTGGATTTCAAAGCTCCATTAAAATTGGACCAACCCAGGGAAGAAAAATGAAACATTGAAGCCCCTCTCACGGTGGTTGAACTCACAATTGGTCACCATCAACCTCTCAAATTTCAGTCTTATGTTTTTCCTTTGTTCATTTTCATATGTAATTTTCTTCACATACTTTCTCATTTCTCATCCTTTTGTTTAAGCCTTTCAAGTTGATCAAATCATTAAACATGATTTTCAGAAATGGATGATTAAAGAACTGAAAAAGGAACCAAAAATATTTTGTATTTGTGATGAGATTTATGGAACTGTAACTTACAAATTGGCCTTCAAAGCCTTAAAGAATGGGTGGTGGCATCCATCAGCCTCTTCCTTGTAGGGCTGCTGTGGTGGCACTTTCCTTATATTTTAAAGGTCCCCCCCATTATCAAGGATGTTTCACTATCCTTGGTCTCATATAATGTTTTCTTTACTCGTTAGACTACAGAACAAAAAGATTTTGGTATTTCAGTGTGCTCATCATCATTGCTTTACCATCCTCCTGAGGTTGGAAGAAAACAGGATGCTTGCTTGCATTAGAAAGTAGCACTCCACAAAGCATTCTCTCCTTCCCCGCACCGCCGGTGAACCTCTTTCATCCGATCGGCAGACTTGCAAATTCCACTGCAGCTCCAATCGAAGGAAGCAACACAGGCATTGCCAGCTTGAGCCTTCCATTCACAATCTGCATTCGGGGTGCATTCATTAGACCGACAAGTAACTATGGTTTCGAGTTTCATTTTCCATCGTCTTCTCCTATGCAAACTAATCAAAATTCGAAAAGATTCAGGAGAATTTAAGATATTTACCAGGTGGTGTGCCACAACATAATCTCCGATCATCAATATGCTCAACATCAAGTCCAATAAACCATGAACCAAGTGAAACATCCTCATTAGCATACTTGTGTAAAACATGCCTGGCGTAATCATGCATGTAATATGATCAGCATTAGTACAGTAAACAATGGAAACACTCGAGAAGCAGGCCTGCAGATTCACACACAAGCTTCATTTTAAACAAGGAACTTAGATCTTACTGATTTATCGATATATACGAGGCCAAATCTTTCGAAATGGCATACAACTGTCCAGTAGCATGCCGGAAATATTTATTTCCTGCACCAAATTTCCAGTGTTCAGGTTCATGGTATCTCACTCCCCTGCTCCATAACATAACAATTAAGAAAACCAGTATGCTTTCTCAAGAAAAAAAAAATAACACATCGATAAATTCGGCTCACTTTTTAGAGAGGACGGGGCCAGATTTCATGCACCCTATGTATACACGTGGTTTCTTTCGATGTCTAACTAGAGTTTCACAGAGTGTCGCTGCATAAATTTAACAGGAAACGAGGACTTAAAGAGCAAAGAATTGATAAAATTTAAACGAACACTTGATTACTGTTAACTGCAATAAGTATCATAATTCTCATTGAAAACATATAAGCATTGATCTTCAAACACAACAAAGGCTTTATGCAACTAATACTTGTAACGACAACTAATCGTTTATGTAAAGGATAATTATATAGACAACTGATCCTTTTGTTGTCTGATTGTAAACTTTACTTTTAGTAGACAAATCTCAAAACTTACCTATATTTACATGGACATCATCATCGACTTTGACAAAAAAATCTGCATCCCATAAAGCGACAGCAGTGGCAAAGTATATCTTAGTTTTTGCAGACAACTCAAGATACCCTTCAACATGGTCCTGCTGACATGTAAAACATGTTACTTGGTTTACTTATTTAATCTTTTCACATAGTAAATTGTTATAGAGTGTTCTTAAAGAGCACAGTTAGCCTATATACAAGAGACCATTAGTGACTGAAACAGCCTACCAGTCTCAAGAAGTCTCCGTGCTTCTGATTCTCAGCTTCGATTGCTCGGTCCAAAATACCACCCGTCATGGCACTGGAAAATAGGAAAGAATGGTAGCATACAAGAATCTGTACAAGTAAATTTTTATGCTTATGGCAGAATTCTTTAGGATCTGTGGAGGTGAAATCCGCCTACTATATAGTTTCGATACATGTCAAAGTTCAGCAACCAAAAATAATATAAAGTGAATTAAACCCTCACCTATGCCCAATAACAAAGCGAACAATAATGCCCTTTTCATCCTCCAATTTCTTCCGCTTTTCACCTATTTTCCAGTAGTTTTAGGAAGGAAAACCACAACAGTTTTAACTTGGCAATTCCAATGGCATAACTAGGGAAAGGAACTAATGAGTGTTAAGGGAATAAAGGAAGAGAAGGGTATAAAAAAGGTCAATCCAACCTTGTGGTATCCATGTAGCACGGACCGAATCTCTTCTTTTCCGGCTGCTAAAAGCGGTATTAATTCCTATAACCATCAGATACCTTCTTTTCCTAGATGATTCGGCTCTATTAACATCCGTGGATAACAGTGAACCACCAAGTAAGGACTCTTGTGCTGCCCTAGCAGCAGCTAATTCCATCTCTAAGTTCGAAATAGTCTTATCCAATGTGCTACATCAGAAACAACATGATAAGTTTGTTGATCAGCTACTTCAGAATCAAATCAACCCAAGGCAGAAGCAATACTTACTGTATAGCATGGTGAGTCTTAAAAACCTCCTCAATGATGTCCTTGGATACATGCTTTTCTTCTTTCTGAAACAAATAAAGAAAGCCAATCAACCCAAAAGCCACACAACTTTGGATGCGTAATAAAAAGGCTTAGTACGATGCAATTACGGTACTCACCGCTTTTAGATTACAACCCTCTGAAATTAGTGTAAGGTTTTCAGCTTCCATTGCAGTTTTCCTCATGATACCTTTAGATTGAGGAACAGTCCCCACCCTGTTACAGATTGTACACATTAACAAACCATCATTTAAGCCTCGATAAGATCAACAAGTATGCCACCATTATAAACAAAATGAATCCATATTTTTAACTATAACACAAATATTGAACTGTCAAACGTAATCTATCGAAGTGCCAAGAGAAGGTCAAAAATTCAATGAAGTCTAAGGTCTCATGTTGGAATTGTTTAGTTCTTCATAGCAATGATCTTCAAAGCTGCAGCTTCCATGAGGGGAGTAAAAACATTAAAAGCCAAACAATTAGGTATAGGCCTTAAAAACACTTGAGGATGTTTATATGCCTCAAAAATCTCATTCAAAGAGTCCAAATTACAACTGCTAGATATTATTAAAGCAATGTTACAGACTTACAGTTATTCACAGCATGTGTCAGAATTCTTCTTGTGAGGAATATGGTTAACAATGACATGAATGATATAATTATGGAAGCATATTACATGGGTCATAGAATGATAAGACTGCAAGTTTTTTCCTTCAAAATTTATATAAAAATGGCAACCCTAAAAGGCTGAACTTTTGCATCAGCATAATATTGGATTGAAATTGACACCCCTTTACCAAAAACAAGAAAATTTTGAAACCTCTAAAACTTAAATTCACATCAGAGCATTACTGTTTGTTTCCATAATATGGGAAAAGAAAAGATGTGTTAAAAACTAACACAAGCTTGAATACAACTGCTAACAACAATCAAAATAACCCATCTTTAGAAAATAAGCAAAGTATATTATCAAAACAAGTTTCACCATTGAAATACATAAAATTTTAACTAAACAAAGATCTTAAGGCAAGGTTAAAAAGAATCAAAATTTTGGAATTGAAGAAATGAAAAGCCAAAAGCTCTGAACATTGAGAATTCAATGAAACTGGAAAACCCAAACAAGAAGGATAGTAATAAAACGGATACCTATTGGTGAAGAGCATTCCAGCATAGAAGCAACCCAAACAAAGAAGAAAACTCCATTTCTTGGATACAAAACTTGCAGAATACTGATCTCCTTTTCTTTTAAAAGGCATATTTTGAAAACCTTCAATCTAAATTCCCAGTTACTTATCAAAAGAGATAAACCCCATATGGAAAAGAGGAAGCTTGAGGCAAATCCAAGAGACCAGTAGCAGAAAACGACTCCCAAGAGCTTCAAATATGAAAGGACAAAGCTCAGTTTTTTTAACTTGAAATTTTGTTCCTTTCTTCCTTTAATTGTTTCTGTATATTTTTTTATTGGTTTGCTTGGGTTCTTCTCTCTAATAGATTCTCTAAAATTCACAACTTTGCAGGTAAGGGACTTTGAATGAATACAAGTGAGAAATTGGATACACGTGAGAAGACGGAGACGTGGCAGAAAGCAATTGGATGAAGAGTTTCACTTGATCTTATGTGTTGTCTAGTAATCATGTGAGGAACACCGTTTTAGGTCACGTGGATGCTGCAAAGGAAAGAGATGTCCCACCTCACGAGGAAGCCTGAACAAAGGAGAAAGGGAACATATACCTTCCGAGCAGGGCATAAACAGTCGAGTTCGAGTATTATTGAACTCGTTTCGATTAAATTTGATTCGAAAATTAGTGAGTTTAAAATTATCAAATTTAATTTAAATTAAAAGTTAAAATTCGACTCGAGCTCGAAAAGTTTTCAAATTTGAATCGATCTAAAACTTGAATCTTAAGTACATAAAAATCTACTAGAAATGAATTCATTCAAAAAGAATATTAATCGAATCAAACTTGAATAGTTTGTGATATATATGGTCTCGTTTATAACTATTTTTAAATAAATGTGAGATGAATGAATATAAGATAGTATATGTTCAATGATTCACGATATTTTAATAATAAAAGTTTATACTTCTATATATACGATACTCGAACTTAAAACCTTAAAAAATAAAATAAATGTCTTAATCAGTAAGGTTATTTGATCAATGCTCGTTTATAATTTTTTAATTTTTATCCATCGTTTATAACCTTAATTCCGACTGTCTGGGGATGTCTATCAGAAACATGGACTTGAATTGGAGGAGTGAAATTAAGGTGGAAAAAACATTTTTATATTTATTTAATAATTTAATAATGCATTTAATTATATTAATTAAGTAGTTATTGAATTATTGACAATTAATATTTATCCATATGATCAAATACATGTGAGTTCCCTAATTACTGGGACGCTTGGCTCTCTCGGATTGAGATAGATTTGTTGCTATATTGTTATGTACTTTGTTGAAAACGATGGATTTCGAATCTCTCTAATTATGGAAATAAATAAACTAATTTTCAATAGAAAAATAATTTTTTTTATAGATTTGAGATATATACAATGCAGTGTATATTCAAATACTCATAATCAATTAACAATAAACGTTCATACTTCTGTTGGTGTTCAAACCCGTGCAATAAATTTAGAAATCACTTAATAATGTTTAAATGATTATTTTAGTTTGTTAAATGATTATAAATTTCAACAAATGTGATATTTATTTTATAATAATTTGATAAAATCTAATAAACATTTGAGTAAATTACATATTTAATATCTGAACTATTATTTTTGTTCTGTTTTTGTATCTAAACTTTATTTCTTTTTTTAAAAATATACCTAACATTTAGTTTTGATTTCAATTTGATACAGGACCATTAAAAACTTAACGGTGATATTGATGTGTCACCATAAGATAACACCACATCATCATCGAAAAAAATAAAAAAAATGTCATGTCAGTAGTTTTGTTAATTTTTTAAAGGCTGTGTACCAAATTGAAATCTAAACTAAACATTTAGTTTTTTAACGTTAGGTGACCAAAATGAAACCAAAATGTAATATTAGGCATGATTTTGAAACAAAAAAAAGTTGAGTGACCAAAATAGAACAAATCTGAAATTTGGGACACTAAATTTGTAGTTTATCCTATTTTATAATAGTTTTATAAATTTAAAAGCAAATGAGGAGAGATTGATTTACACAAAAAGTGGAAAAAATGAGATTAAAAAAAGAAAAAAATTGTATGTATATTTGCCTCCCACAATCTCTTGTAAGTTCATAATTGACCCTTTTTAAGCAACTTAGTGGTTCAAAATTAAAGATCCAAAAGTACGGTTTGAAATTGAAAGTGATTTAATCGAATAAAAATAATTCAAACCTTAAATATATAATTGAAAAAAAATACTAGAAACAGTCATCTTCTTCTCCATGCAGGAAGACTAAGCTGAAGCTTTCAATCTAGATTCAAAGTTTTCATTGAAAAATTTAAGGTAAACCCACGGGATAAACCATTATGTAAGATGATGGTTCCACGTACTGGATCTCCATAAATTGCAACATTGATGAAGGGATGGGAATTTAACCCGAAATCAACGGATTTATACTCGATTCAATTTAATAGAGTTAGATTTTTTAAAATAAAAAAAAATTAAGTTTAGGTTGGGTCACGTCAGATTTTATATAAGGGTAAAGTCGGGTCGGGTTTGGATGGAGGGGGAAAAATCTTCTAGCCGACCCGACCCGCAAGTAATGATGTAATTTTTTCATATAAATTTATGGATAATTACTATAATACCCCTCTCTATAGGTTTTTTTTAATAAGGTCCTTATTTTATATCGAGTCGGGTCAGGTCGAGTTGGATTTATACTCTAAACATTTTGGATCGGGTTAGATTTGGATGGATAAAATATGCTCTTCAAGTCGGATTGGATCGGATGAAGGATATATATATTTTTCAGATCGAGTCTAATTTGGGTGAAAGGTATATATATTTCGGATCGGATTGGATCGGGTCGATAAAAAACTAAACCCGTTTCCATCTCTTCATTGATGCATTGGAATTGCCCATCCCGTCTATGGGACTAGGGTTAGGAGGTTAGGACCCCCATTGCCACATCTTGTTGAATGCAATGACTGAAACCCCAAATCACTCACACTGTTATGGAGGATAAATTTTATATTGAGGATAAATTTATAATATATATATATGATTTTATATTGATGATAAATTTTATATTGAGGATAAATTTATATATATATATATATATATATGATTTTATATTGAGGATAAATTTTTGAAATTTTAAGAAAGAATAAATCCTAAAGATGAAAAAATACTATAAAACAAATTAAAATATATAATATTTTTAGATTTTCAGAGAATGACTATCCCTCCCGATCACCTCTCTATCCATCCCATGCTCACTTGCCCCTTTCTTTCGCAACCGAGGAATGGAAGCATCAATATGGATCGTGTCACATTGATGGTAAGGCGTTCAAGGCTTTTCACATGTGAAAGCCAAGTTAGCTGTAAAAGGGACCAATAGGTGCCACGCTGTATCAGCATCCACTTTATTTACAGAACGTTTCACGCATTTCGTATTCCATGTGTCAAGTACCATGGCATTATTACAGCCCTAAAATCAGCAAATGGAAAATTCTCGTAAACTTGAGTAATAAGGTCGCATGTGATGCTTCTATTACATGTAACTGTTAAAGCAAATGAACTTGTCATCTTAAAGTAATAAATGCAAGTAGGTTAAACCTACCTGATCTATACAGATTCGTTAGTTCATTACAGTTACACATGTAACCAACGTTATCTTGGTTAATTGCAATAAATTTCTATGATTCAACCATACAATAAACTATTCCCTGCCATAGGCATAGACATGATAACTTTGGATATTTCTCGACCAGCTCCCACCAAATGAACCAAATGCAGTTTCTACGTACAGTTTCTCTTTCCCAATTTGGCTAGTGATTTGTAATACTTCATCCACATTCCAAATGCAGTAGTGCACTAGTCTTGGCTAGATAGGTCAATGGATTGGATTGGACCCGGACCTGGAGCACTTCATTTTTACTTTGCCCCAATCCAGACGTGCTCCAATTACATAGCCGTAGTATCAAAAATTACTTTTAACGTTTGACTAAATAATCACTTTAAACCCTATTTTTTTAACACATTAACCTCCAACGTTTTATTTTAGAGCAAGATATGCCGAATAAACGGAAAATCATTATTTGACTAACAATCAACGCTTTTCGCTGACATGATAAAGTCCTATATGTCCAAAATATCAATATAACACATACTATATGTCCAAAGTGATAACGACACGTTACATATCCAAAGTGATGTTGTAACATTGTCATGTATTCAAAGTGATGATATAGAACATAACAAGTTATCACTTTAAACACGTAAGACTTATCACATCAGCAACAAACGTTAGTAGTTAGTCAATTAACAGTTATCATCCAACTCAAAACATTTTACCCAAAATGAAATGTTGAAGTCATCAAAGTACTTAAGAAAAATAATGAAGAACAAAGTGATTGTTTTATTAAATGTTAGAAGTAAATTTTAATATTATGCCAACTATATAATACATAAAAAAACTCGATCCAGGCTCAACCCATAGCCGGATCAACATGCTGAATCCTATCGTTTCCACGTTCAAGCAGGGTAGGATTTCTTACCTAACCATATTTTTGTCTTATAAATAAATGGGCAAATCAGAGGTTTGGAAAAGAGAACAAAGACTGCCAAGACATTAGCATTGCTACACCTTTGTTTCATAAGCTAAATAAAAAGTAGCTATCTTATTGTTAAGATACAAAATACTGCCTCAATCCCAAAAATTTTTTACAACTGGAAAGGCAAAGCTATACCTTCAAATAATTTGCCATCCCATCTCTCGACTGATTCAGCCAACAAATCCGGAAGTCGGAACATTTCTTTGTTTGAAATCGACATTGCACGAAGTAGTTTGCATCAAATGAGAAGAAAACAAACCATTTACTTCCAAAAAATTGCTTTGCTTGACGTTCTAGTACAGAGTCAACAACTGAGATCTGTGATCAATCGCATTGAATACAGATGTGCCAGACATGGGAACAAACTGTTTCGTTATAAGCTGCAGCAAACACAAAATTTTCATTTTACGTGCTTGTCAAGTCATGTAAACCACGTAAAATCATTTTTCAGTAATTTTCTCCACACGACAATGGAAATGTGAATTTGAAACACAGCCGACGAAAGACTAAAATGCTACCTTGATTACTTCTTGTGATGCAATTCCTCCAATGACAGCAGCAACAGCATGGAGCTCCGCGGCACCAAATCGACACATTTCATTAATAAGGTCCTCTGTCAATGTTAAGCCAGTACAACCCCAATCATTAACTAGGCTAACAGCTGTTGTTTTTAGCCGAGATATATCCTCATCCAATCCACTGCAAAACAATGACCACATAGTTAGAATGCAAAACTCAGGTTATGATAACAAGAGAAAGAGAAATTTCGAAGTGCTAGGCTT